ATACTGTTTTGCACATAGTACAAATATGAACATTTAAATACTGTTATTTTATTTATTTATTTGTATCCAACCTTTATTATTTTTACAAATAATTCAAGGCAGCAAGCATATCCGGCACACCTTCCTCCTCCTATTTTTTCATAACAACAATCCTGTGAGGTTGGTTGGGCTAAAAGTGTTTGGCCCAAAGTCACCTTGCTGGCTTTAATGGCTAAGGTGGGATTCAACTAACAGTCTCCTGCTGTCTAGCCTGGTGCCTTAACCACTTGACCAAATTGACTCAGTTAGCAATATCAATTAATAGTAATATTAATTCTGTGCGAAGAAGGCACAGAAGAGGCTGTGAGAATGCTCAGGAAGATAAATCTATCTCAGCATCTACTTCTGTCCTAGTATCGCAGCACCATTGAGAGTGTCCTGACATACGGCATTCTTGCATGGTATGGGAGCAGCTCTGAATCAGACAAAAAGGCTCTACAGAGAATCATTAAAACTGCCCAGAATATCATCGGGCTTCAGCTACCAGCCCTGGATGACATCTTCGAATCTCGCTGTTTGAGGAAGTTGCATAACATTCTCAGAGACTCTTCCCATCCTGCTTACAATCTTTTTGGACTGTTGCCTTCTGGCAGAAGATACAGAACAATTAAAACTCGGACCACACGTTTTCTGAATAGTTTTAATCCCAGAGCTATAATTGCACTCAACAATGAACTAAAGGGCCACCATCAGTGAGCTGTTGGACAGCATTACTTGGTCTGTTGTGTGGATGTTGGGTGGTTTAAGGGTGGGGAATTCTGGTGGGTGGGAGTGTGTTTGGGGATTGTTATGTATGTTGGACTTGGTCTTTGGGTGTTAAGTGAATTTTGTTGTATGTGTATACTGTGTATACACGTACAATGACAATAAAGTTATTATTATTATTATTAATAATGATGCATTGCAGATACCTCATTATACCATATTATCTGTTGCTTCTTCTCCACACTTCTCTGCTTTTTGTCTGAAGAAAAATAAAAAAGAAACCTTCATTCCACAATGATGATTAAAGAGTTACGTTGTTTCATGGTCTAAGGAAAGCTTCCCTAAGATCCAGAGCCACTGATAGTCATCTCTATATGATTGAAAAGGATGCTGTATATCACATTTCTAGCTGTAGAATCATGCAAACTGTAATTTTGTTTTATGATTTTCTGTCAAGGAAAAAAAATATACACTTTTTATCATTTGTTAGCACCTACTTGAAAGCCAATTTGGTGTAGAGGTTAAGGCATCAGACTGGAAACTGGGAGAGCTTGAGTTCTAGTTCTACCATAGGCACAAAGCGTGTTAAGTGACCTCGGGCCAGTCACTTTCTCTGAGCCTTAGAAAGGAAGCAATGGCAAACCACTTCTGAAAAAACTTACCAAGAAAATTGCAGGGACTTGTCTAGGTAGTGTTCAAAATTCAGACCCAATTGAATGGAAGAAAAAACCCAATTACTTAGCCAGCCAACCATTTGCCATTTTAATTATTTATTTGTTAGAGTTTTATGACAGCAAGTGTAGTGTATTTGTTGAAGAAATGCTAAGAAAACAACAACGGAGTTAACTCAACTTTTATTCAGGAGCTCAATATTTTTATACTGCCCATTAAAGAATGCATGCCTTCTTTGATTAAATTGATTGAATTCTCACTTGAAGATTGAATTATTTTGTATAAGTGAGCATCATGCCAAAACTTCCTGCAGTATTTCTACAGTATGGTTATAAATGAAAATGGAAAACATGTTTTGCTGAGATTGGAATAGAACAACTCCCAACTAAAACATGCCATCTAAACTTTCTGCATGGTTTGTGTCCTGATGTAATGAAACAGTTTAAGGATTCTATTTGCTGTTGAAACAAAACACATTTCAAGTATTTTAGTTATATGAAACAATACACCATAGTATGAAACTTTTGCTCTTTTGTTTTTCATACAAATACTACAAGAATAAATGGGGCAATAAATAAAACCACCCAACCATATCATTTACATAAAACCACCCAGCGATATCATTTAAAAGCATTTCTGAAAGAATAGAATTAAAACAAATTTAACAAGAACATTTGCCTTTCTTGCTAGAGAATCAATCTTCACTTTGTTAAATAAAGCCCCTTAGGCTATAAGGAAACTAATATATTATCTACATCATTTACCTACTTTAGAACATTTGGCAGTTAAAAAATTATTAATGCTATACCCAATGTGGTGCTTACATTTTTGCTTTATAATTACAATATATTAGCAAAAACCTGTTCTACAACTAGTAGGTAAAATATATTCAGAAAGCTCAAAAGAGGGCGAGAACAATTTCACATAGCTTTATACATAGTAACATGCTTAGCCATCAGCATACATATAACTATACACACAGCAGAAGTTAAAGAAAACAAAAACTTAGCAGCACAGGAGGACAAGAGGCAATGCAGAATCTTCAGTTTTGGCATTTTATAACACTGTTTAGAAATTCAGCATAGTAATAAGCACAGAAAAGTATAACAAAGCTCAAAACAACTAAATTAACATGGTATTAATTTCTGCTTTTACACAGGCTCAACAGCATTAGCAACATTTTTTCTGTGAAACCCAGTAGAAATTGCAACCACCCACTAACATGACCTTCCTATAGTAAAGACTTAAAAAAATAAAAGCAATAACTTGCCAAGTAGTTTGGCAGGAATGCAATTTACAAGCAATCTTCTGCATGGCCATGTGCTTAACTGCTGTTTTTTCTCAACACTCCATCACCCATAGCAGCAGGGATATAACTAGTTCTTGCCACTATGCTGGTTAGTTTAGAAAAAGGTGGAAGAAAAGCAATTCAGTCATAAGTCCCAATACAACATCCAATTAAATAGTAGGCATAGTTGGAGCATACATCTGACACCACTCAAAGCACTAAATTTTGTTTTAATCCCAGGACAAGCTTCTTGAAACGTGAATGTCTAAAAAATGAAATGTTTTGAATGTTACAAACTTATATTATATTCAGTGGTAGGTTTCAAATTTTTTTACTACTGTTTCTGTGGGTGTGGCTTGGTAGGCGTGGCTTGGTGGACATGGCAGGGAAAGGTTACTGCAAAATCCCATTTCTTCCCAATCAGCTGGGACTTTGGAGGCCGAGAATAGATGGAGGCGGGGCCAGTCTGAATTTTTACTACCGGTTCTCTGAAAATTTCCGCTACCGGTTCTCCAGAACTGGTCAGAACCTGTTGAAATCCACCTCTAATTATATTAAGCCTACTGAATAAAACAGTATAAATATTCATAATATTTTAGTATATTGTAAACAGATTGGTTTTTTTAAGTGTCTTTTTTTCATATTTGAAGGCTTTCTAATTTTCTGCTTGTACTTTTTTTTGCCAGTTTTTTTTCTTTTATTTTGATGCTATCCATGAACATGCATTAATGCAGTAACTGTAATCATATCCTCCTGGTCAAAGCTTCAGTCCAAGTTGCAGTATGTGAAATGGCACTCCATAAACAGTTAATAGGATCTGGGAAGTGTTGTTAGCTCTTGCATAATGTGTTCACATATTGCAATCCCATCCTTTCCCTTCTGTTACAGAACCATAACGGGACTGTATTTTGGCAGAAGAAAGGTGCTATATTCTCCAAACTAGCAGTTCTAACTTATTTTATTTGTTTTTCCTAATTACAAACCTTTGCTGACATGCCTTGAAATTACTTTTTAAACAATTTCACCTTTCAGCTGCTAGTCCTGACCTTATGAATCTTCATTAATGTGCTTATAGATATATTTCTATATAAGAAGACATTATAATTAAACAACAGATGCTTCATTAATTTAGGAATAAAGGCAGTGTATGTTGCTTTCCCTTTTCTTAGAATATGAATACAGTAGTTTTCACTTTGATGAATGAATTGCTGTGTTTTTAACATTTTTATTACTAATGAACTGGACTGTTCAATAAAAATGATATGACAAAAATATATGACATTCACTTATTTCATATTGAAGAAAATAAATCCCATCACTAAAATGGTTTCTCTGGTAATATTTTCAGAGCTCATATATTTAGGAGTTATTGACATTCATTTAATTAGTTCGGACCAGAACTTTTGGCTAAAATGTAACTTCATTTATTTCAGCCTCCCTCAAAACCGGACCAGAATAGCAATCTGTTCCCACTTGATAGTTTAAGATAAGAATTAGGGTTCAGTATAACTAGAGTACTTAGCTTGTCAAATTTGATTCTTAAAATATATACGCTAAACTAAAGTTTACATGTGATATTTTGTACAAACTCATACATACACACTAGATAGATAGATAGATAGATAGATAGATAGATAGATAGATGATAGATAGATAGATAGATAGATAGATAGATAGATAGATAGATAGATAGATAGATAGATAGATAGATAGAGATATATATTAAATAAGTGTCTATGATTACAGAATAATATTTTCAGAACCAAATTCTGGTAAAGAAATTACAGTTACAAAATGTTTCCACCCAGTTTACCATAGTTTTAATCAGAAGGTGGAACACTTCTGAGTGCCATGCATCATAAAACATGATTAGGAAAAAAAAAATGGTTGGAAATTACTGAGGGGCAAATATTAAAAGAAACATGATGGTTGTAAAAATTACATGATAAACTGCAGTACGGCTAGCAATCATGTATTTCTCTTCCACATCTGACTTCTCTGATTAATGTAATAAACATATACTGTACATTCAGTATCTCATATGAAAACCTGGCAACAACTTGTTCTCTTATTTTCCAGAATCTAGTATCAGTTTAATGCTGTCACTGATGAATTGGAAAATCTTGTACTATGTACTGTAGCTATGTGAGATCTCATTAACGTGCTTATTCCCCATCCTATCTCTCTTTTAACTAATGACAGTTCCATGTCTTATGCCAATGAATTCCGTAAATAAATAAAATGATATACCATTGAAATTGTTGTTTATCGTAAAAAATAATGTTTTTTTTTTCAGATTCTGGTGTAAGAAACATAAGCCTTAATAAGAATCAAGTAGTCGAAATTGCATTCATGTTGTATCCCCCTGTTGGTCTCAAATTGATAACAGCAGCGGCTCCTCGGTCAACCTGGGTGAAACCAATTGTTGATGGAGAAGATTCTTACATGTATCTAGGTAAACATTTCAAAATGGATTCCTTTTGTAGGAGTGTTACTAACTCAATTTTCTACAACTGTCATTTATCATCATAAATCTGTTATTTACTTTTGAAAATGGAAATGGAGCATTTGATACACTCTACTTAGATCTCTCAGGTGCCACATCACCAACCTCTTGACTAACCATGGTTTTGATACATTGTCCTCAGTACATAATTCAAATGTCTTCAGTGTGGTAATATATTTGCATGTTTAAATCTTGCCGAGAACATTTTAAGCCAATAATTGCTCAGGCTGAGCCAATACGCAGGTTACTTTTCATACTATATTTAAAATTTTAGCAGTTACCAAGAAAATAACCAGATGCAGAGCATTCTACTTTCCATAGAATTCTCACTGGAATCCTTGTGATGAAATTTTAGCCTACTGTCTAATTAATACTATTAATCAGTGCTTTTAAATGTTGGACTAGCTATTTCCAGTATGGACTATACAAAGGAAAGTCTGGCAGCTAGTTGAATAAGCAAGCTAATCATGGTTTTTGTTTCAAACTGGACAATTACTGAGTTAATTTCCCCCAGAGCTTTGAGAATTAAATCATCATATTTTCACATTCATAAAAATAAAAATATATTTTATGTAGCACATACATTTATCCAGATCTATATGATCTATATGAACTGTACACATTTTCATTGAAAATGAAAAGCCTAAAATGGTTAGGACTACAAAGCAATTATCCTGAAGGTGTCATTTTGTAAGATATGTTGAAGGCATTGAATGATAGTGAGGACAGTTGGTGTTGCCTGCTTGTCAATTGTATCCAAAGGTTTTCCACTTAGTTTCGCTACATGAAATTTTTCCAATGGATAACTAAATGTTTATAAAGACTGAATTTGAGGGGGAGGGGGTACAATTCAAAATCTAAACAAGGGATAGAAAATGGATTCCCCAAATATGTCAGTCAAGAGTTTTGAAAAATATGCAGCGGTACTACCTATACAACATTGCATGATTGAAAGAGACCCATCTGCCCTAAGAGGTGGAGAAAAAAACAGCATTTGAAAGTCAGATATTTCAGATATATCAATTCAGACTTTGCAGAAATTGGTATTTAATGATGTGGATATGTCTACATATTCATATGTCTACATATTCATGTGAATATGACTACATATTCATAAGCAATAATTCAATCATTGTAAGATATGGAAAATAAATTTCCATTGTAAATTTTAATGTATAAGTAGATCAGCTGAAAGTTTAGTGAAAGTTTTATATAGCACAAAAACTTTGGATAAAGCTAATCTCAAACTCTGATCATCAAACTTGAGAGCAATTTCAGAAAGGTAGTTATATTTTCCTTACTTTATGTATCTCTGTCCAGACTTACCTGCTACAAAAACTTTTTATTTCATTTTGTATCTATTTTCATGCATAAGAATGATGTGAAAATTCTTAGAGATCTCATGTCAACATGGTATGTTTCTAAAATACTCTCTCTTTTTGGCCCATTCATACTCATGTCCAGATTATAATATTCATATTATAATAAAGAAATAAACTTTGCAAATGTTTGCAGGAAAAACAGAAGGAAAAAGATTAATTCCACAACCCTTCAATTACCTTTCCTTAATTTTCTTAGCTTTTGCTTCTGCATTTATATAATAAAAAAAACCCTAAATCGAAAGGTTGATTTGTATGAAGACAGGATTGGAAAGAAATAGAAAAATAAGTATTATTTTTGACTTTGGCTTGCTAAAGTTACTGGGCTACTAAGTTGATGAATGAAATTGCATCATAATTCTTTATTAGTTCAGAAAGATATTGGATCTGCAACTATCCTCCAGAAAGATACTTCTTTCTATTCCAGTCTTAGTCCAGGGGTGTCAAACTCGATTTCATTGAGAGCTGCATCAGGGTTGTGTTTGACTTTGGGGGGCATGGCCAGCATGACATCATTTGCATGGGGGCTGTGGTGGCCCAAGTGCTCTGCCAGTGAAATTGGGCTCCTGAGCTATATTTTTGGCTGGGACGGCCTCCTGCAACCCTCTGTCAGAGAGAATGGAGTTTGGGAGGGCCATATGGGGCCTCCGCGAACTCCATTGTCGCTGGCAGAGGCACTGCGGGCCGATCCTTCAATGTTTCCAGGTTGATCCTGCGGGCCATATCTAAGCACCCCACAGGCCAAATCCGCCCCCTGGACCTTGAGTCTTAGTCCAAATCTCAACAGTTCTGAAAAACAGATACTTAAATTCAGGCAACAATTTATCTACAGTACTGTATCTTCAAATGCAATACACTGGGTAGCTTCTGTTTTCTGCCCCTCATGGTTGATGAGATGCTGCCAGGAGAGGTATTATGAGCCTCAATGGCGCAGTGGTTAGAGTGCAGTACTGCAAGCTACTTCTGCTGATCGCCGGCTCCCTGCAATTTGGCAGTTCAAATCTCACCAGGCTCAAGGTTGACTCAGCCTTTCTTCCTTCCAAGGTCGGTAAAATGAGGACCCAAATTGTTGGGGGCAATATGTTGACTCTGTAAACCACTTAGAAAGGGCTATAAAGCACTATAAAGTGGTATATAAGTCTTAAGTGCTATTTCTATTTCTATTGCTATTATTGCATTCACTTTTCTTTTTCATTCAGAAATGAGAGATCTTTGTTGCTCTTCATCTACTCATAAATTTGGCCTAATGAACTATTACCAGCACCTTTTGTGTAGGTCTGGAAGCTAATCATAGATTTTTTACGTGATTATATGAGATATATTTTTCAGCCACAATGGCTCTTCAAGTAGTTGATAGAAGGATTGTAGCAGTTGCATTTAAGTTGCATTTAATCTGTTTGTTTTTAAAGCCCTGTGAATTTTCTTATTTTCAATCTTTGTACAGATAGCCTTGAGATTTTTAAAACATGTTCTATAGTAAATATCAAAATATCAAACACATTACAGGCTTCTTTTTTTTTCCCTGTCCACTTCTACATTGACTTGGACTGACTGATAAAGAAATCTTGAAGTGCTATTAAACGAAGATGAGAAGAAGGACTATGATAGCATGTGTAGAGTGGGACATGAAAACTGTCACAAAAAATTTAATCCACCGAATTGCAAAAAGCACTGCCATTTTATTCACTTTCACTAAGATGCCAACAGAAAATGGACCACTGACTTTCTATTACTATAAGTGACAAGAAATCATATAATATATTTCTTGCAAGTGAGTTGATAACCTGATCAGTTGATCTGTGAAGATCAAAGAGTGAATTCACAATAGTTAATGACAGGAAATGAGAGTGATAGGAAAGTGTCTATATGTAAAGAAAGGAAGAAAATGTCTATACATCTCCCAAGTCAGCAGTTTCTATAAACTCATGGTTTATAGGCTGAGAACCAGTGGACTCGGCTGACTTTAGAATAGCTATGCATAAGACATTATAAGTCTTTGAAGAGATGTGGAGATGCTCATGCCTGTATGTTTTAAAATTGTGCTTATTTTTAATAGTATCTCTAGGCATCAGTATTACAAAGATAATAGTCAGAAGTTACTATGCTCATTTGCCTGCTTTGCTCCAGGCTCATATATTTGTTTAATGACATGATGGCTTCTAGGGGTCCTAGGGCTCCAGCAGTTGGCTGTTCTGACCTGGCTCCCAAACACGACAATCCCTCTGTAGTTAAACAAATGTTCCCTTTATTAGGAGTGCCAGCAGCTCCAGCAAAAAGTCTCTCTCTCTCTCTCTCTCTCTCTCTCTCTCTCTCTCACACAGCAGGCTAACAAGTCTGTCTGGCAGGGAGATGAATAGTTGTCTGCTACACGTATTCATCTCCGCCCCCTGTCTTTTAGCCCCAGAGCTAGAGTGGGGCTTCACTAGCAGTGGTGGCTCTTCTGTCCCAAGGATCAGCCCATAGGTTTCCACAGCTCTCCTCTCCTCTGCCTTCTGAGCATCCACGTGTCAGGCACTGGACCCAGCTGTTCCTCCTCTTCTGCATCAGCCACCTCCAGACCTAGGGACTGTCGACTCTCCATCTGAGGGCTGATGGACAGCCCAGGCTCTGCCTCTGTCTTTATCTCTGACAGCTCCATTCCCTCTTCCCGCTCAGAGCTTCAGGTTGTCTTGATGCTGGCCCTGACTCACATGCCTCCTCCTCATCTGATTCGGCTGCTGGAGGGGCCGGTGGCTGACAGGCCACAACATTGGCTAACTAAATATGCTCTCTGGATTTCCCAGTGCATAAAAAAACTGGGAGTTTTTACAATATAAAGATCCTGAAAATTGTGTCATTTTTGTAACAAGATGGAATGCCTCATAACACAGCATTGTGTTATGTGTTAGGGAGGCAAGCAACCTCTTAATGGCTACAAGATGTTGAAAAGAATAGAGCTGAAGCTTTATGGGGTTTCTGTCGTGACTCAAGAAAGCCTTTGATCATTTAAAATAAATTCAAACAATTAGCGTCCTAAAAACTAGAGTGTTTTTAATGGTATTCTATAAAGCTTGTTGACATGCCAGATTAAATATCTGGGTACTCAAAGGAAAAGAAAATACATTACTTTCATAATGGATAAGTGTTTTAGGCACTTCACGTTAAACCTCACAGTGTTAAATTCAAACTAAGTTGGTTAATTTGTGAATTTGTGACTGCTTTGATTATTGATTATATAATGTACACAAAATTCTTCTAAATGCAGCCCTATTTTTTCCTCTGCTATAAGTACCAGTTTTGTAAAGGGTTTCTTGTCAGTAACTCAGATGTTTCTACTAGTTGACCCCTGTTGAGATTCTGGTAGGTTTGCATCAGAAAGTGCTATTTGAATTTTTAGTATGTTACCATTTCAGATATTTAATATTATATTTTGCTTTGTATTGAGTCAAAAATAGCAAACAGATGGCTCTCTAGATGTTGCATATCATAAGCCTCAGCACTCATTATCACTTGGCCTTGCTCGCTGGAGCTGCTAGTAGTTGAGTAACTTATGGAGAATCATAGGATTCCTCATCTTTTGGATAGAGAGAA